GTCCTGAAAACTCAGGTCCAGGCAGGAGATGGTCATGAACCACCACCATGTGGCCACACCTGCACAACAAAGGCAACACTCCTCCCCTGTGTGTCTAAACAGCACTACTCTGTCAATCCTTAAATGAACTCCACAGCCAGTCTCCTACTGACCTTTCGCACAGATGTGAATAAGCAAAAAGGCGTGTGAAAGTCCATGCGGTGCTTCGGTGAGCTGTCTCACGGCTACGGCAGAACAGAGGTGCCCAGAATCACTACAGCTATCTACCACCTCGTGTCCAACTAAAGAGCCTCACACAGAAAAGCTGAGAAGGTCTGGAGTAAAAATTTGGAGTTGGAAAACTTTTGCTGGTATACCTGGAATTTTCTTAACTGAAATTCCAGGAAGGCCAGTAGCTTCTAGATTGCATACATGAATAAAAAGGGAAAGAACTGGGGCACCTGGGTGGCTCAGTCGTTAAGCGTCTGCCTTCGGCTCAGGTCATGATCCCAGGGTCCTGGGATCGAGCCACGCATCGGGCTCCCTGCTCAGCGGGAAGTCTGCTTCTCCCTCTCCCACTCCCCCGCTTGTGTTCCCTCTCTCGGTGTGTCTCTCTCTGTCAAATAAAATCTTTAAAAAAAAAAGAGGGGGGGGAAGAACTGTCCCATCTGCTAGACTAAACACTGGTTTCTCCTTTCTACCTATAACTTCTGAAGTCAACAAGAACTGATCAGAGAAAGCATTTCTCCTCCTTAGGAACTCACGCGCTCAGCTCCCTCATCCCTTCTGGGAGTTCTCTCTGGGAGCATAAACTTTATCAGCTACCAGGACCTAGAGACACGGTATAAATAATTTAAATAATACCTCATTTAAAACTAGATTTTTTGGGGTGCCTGGCTGGCTGAGTCAGTAGAGCATGCTACCCTTGATCTTGTGGTTGTGAGTTGGAGCCCCACATAGGGCATGGAGCCAACTTAAAAAAAATTTTTTTAATAATAAAACTCTAGATTTTTCCTTTTTTTTTTTACAATTTATTTTATTTTTAAATTTTTTTAAACAATCTCTACACCCAACGTGGGGCTCAAACCCACAACCCCAAGATCAAGAGTCACATGTTCCACTGACTGAGCCAGCCAGGTGCGCCTCTAGATATTTCTTTTTGACGGTTCTAGCATATGCCCAGAACACTTCAGTTTGGAGGCTTGCATTCTAAATTAGGTTATTTATATATTACAGATGTCAACAGCCTTAACAAACCTCTTTTAAGATTGGACCAGCAGTGTTCTCGACTAATAAAGAGGAATTAATTTGCTTATTCCACAACAAACTGTTTCCCATAGAGATAGCTGGGGATCCAAGAGATCCTAGGTCAACTCAATCCAGAACTTGAGAGGCTTGGTTGCTTTGATCTTATATCCATCTACTTGCCAACAGCCACATTAATCTGGGTGTACCTGGGGAGCATGGCAAGGGATGCCTGAATTACAAAAAACAAATCTCAGTCCATATTTCTCAGCCCAAAGTTCAAAGAATACCAGCATGGAGCAATGATTCTGATTAGCAGTGAATCCCTCTCTCTGAAATATCCCAAGATGAGAAAATGTTGTTGGAACTATAAGGCTGGGGGTCCGAGAAGAGAGGGAAAATAGCCAGGGACTGAAATAAAGCTCTGGCTGGCCTCCAGTTTCTAACAATGCCCTGTTGTGTTCATCTCCTCGTTTCTCCCTCCCTGGGCCTCCTGTCATCACGGAGCACTGAGGCAGAGGTCCAACCGGCAACAGCAGAGAGCCAGGGCATTTGTGTTCAACTACAAAGTTTAGGGGGCAAGCCTGAGTCAGGATAAATTCAGTTCTTCCAATTGTTAGAGAGGAGGCATGAAAGAATATGTTGGGGGCATCTTTAGTAGAAAGAACAGGTAATTTGAGTCATAAGACTCATGAGTGGTCCCTCGCTCCCTCCTTCACTAGCTGTATGGTCTTGGGAAGGTCACTTTACCCCTTCTAATTCTCACTTTCCTTAGTTGGGAAAACTGAGAGGATGAAATAACTTTACCGCCTTCAGAGTTATCATAAGAATCAAGCCAGATAGGAATGTGCTTTGTAAGCTATAAAACACTATTAAAATATTATTTACTTAAGGCAACAAATCCTGGATATTTCTCATATTTGTGGTGCAGTATGTGGTAGAGAAAGTAATACAACACAGTCCGAGCCGTCGGTGAGCACGCTGATAGGGGAGACCAATGCACGAACACACAAGGCATCACTTCAAAGTGGCGTGGAAGAGAGAGAGAGCTGAGATTAATTTAGTCTGAGGACTGGAGGTCAGATTCTCAGGAAGGTGATATTGGACGTGGGCCTTGAAGGGTAAGTGGGTGATGGCCAGGCAGAGGAGATTGGGACGTGCATTCTAGGGAGAGAGATGAATAAGCAAAGAGGTGTGGAAGCACACAGTGTTTAGGGAGCGGTGACTTATCTCATGTGGCCACAACACAGGCTACACAGGGGACAATGCCTGCAAATGAAGCTGGGCAGCTTGGAACCAGGTTGTCAAGGACTCTGCATCATGACCAAGTTCTGCATCAGCAAACTGGAGGCAAATGGTACATCTTGAAGGAATTAGAGGAAAATAGCAGTTTTCTCTCTCTGTCTCTCTTCGTTTCTCTTTATCCTGACACTAACAAAATAAGACACAATATCTGCCTTCAAGCTAGAATCAACAGAAAGATATAGAACGTATACATGTGCTGTAACAGAAGCACGTAAGGAATACGGTGAGGGCACAAAGAAAAGGGTAGTCAATTCCATATGGGAGATTCAGGAAAATATCTATTGAGATGGTGTTAAATTGGGGTTACGCAGGCAGAACAGAGATTGGAGAAGGCTCCACACAGAGGGAGCGGCATGAGCAAGGATACGTCATAAAATAGCATGCACATGGCTCTTAGCACGGCACATGGTTCAGCAAGTGCCTGAGGTATAAAGGGAATTCGACACTATGAGCCTGGAAAGGTAGGGAGAAGGCAGGCCATTACTGCAGATGTTAAGAGCACAAGTTTTAGACTTTAGGTTGCCTGAATTCTAAAATTTCAGTTCTGCCTCTTTATAGTGGCATGACCTTGAACAAGTAAACTTCTCTAAAGTTCATTTTCCTCATTGATAAAATGGGAAAATTGAAAGAGTCTACAGCATAAGTTCACTGAGGAGTAAAGAAGCTAATCCACGTAGAGGACTTAGTCCAGAATGTCAGCTTTACGGTAAGCAAACTATTACTACTATTTGCGTTATCAGTGTTACTACAGAAAACCTTACTAGGAACTATTACAGTGATCAAGGCAAGCTGAAAAGGCCCTGGACTAGGCAGAGGTCATGGGGATAGAGAAGAGAAGTCAGGTGCAAGCATTTTTCTGAATTGGAAGTGATTGATTGGAGCTGGTGACAAGGGAGATGATGGGCAGACTGAAAAGAGTTCTAGATTCCTAATTTGGATAGCTAAGTACGTGAATGAAAATATTTAGCAATTTGGGATGTGTTGAATACGGGATACGTCTGGGTGACATCCAGATGAACATGCCCAGTACACTGTCTTTGGCTTAGGAAAGAATATAGGACATGGCTCTATTGTTACGTCCTTATCCAGATCTTGTACTTTAAAAACTGCCCTCACCTGCAGTCCCCATTAAACAGTGGCCCTCAGGAGCCATGCTGATTTATGTAACCATCTCCCTTGCCATAGATTACTGAGCTATAGATGGACACCTGACCCATGGAGGAAAAGAACATCCCAGCCAATCAGATTTTCTGTGTTTGGTGTAGCCACAAATTACATCACCATTTGAGAGACAGCCACCACAGCTTTCACACAAGCAATGGCAGAAGCAATGAATGTAGGAGACATACGGAAAGAAAGAAAAACAAGACAACACAAAGCCCTCAATAACAAGAGGGAGTAGCCGCCTGATAATGTTTAGTTTTCATAAAGCCTTGCTGCATCCAGACACCAGATTTGAGATCACTTCATATGCTTTTTCTACTTGGGCTTCCTTGCGTTCCACATCACCAGTGATCCCTGTGCCTAACACACATGAGACTGCCCAAAAAGAGTTACAGAGAACAAAACAAGAAATTGGGTAAGGTTAGGACCCTGGGGACCAGCAACATGGAGGAGTCAGAGAAAGAAAAAGGCATTCATAGAGGAAAGAGGTAATTCAGGAAAAAGCAGTGTGTTAGAAGCCAACATAAGAGTCGGTTTTAAGGATAAGTTAGTCAACAGTATCAGATGCTGTGGAGAAATCAAGTAAGAGGAAGATAAAACTAGGCTACTGGATATGGCAATTAAGAGGTCACTGATGACCTTTCCCAGAGCAGTAATCAATATAACTCAAAATTATGTGAATTATTTGAGTAATTATTATATACTATTCAAAAACGTTGTTTTCAAATCTGGACTTCACATTAGTCATACTGCTTATCCTTAGGTGGGCTTTTAACATGCCTCTGCCTTGGTTTCTCCTCTATTTAAAAACAGTGATAAAATCTCCCCCCAGTCTTAGCCGTTCTGGAGTGTTCTGCATCTTAAACTGCATGGTGGTTATAATGTATATATATACACATGCAAAAATTGCTTAAACTAAACATTTAAGATTTGTGCACTTAGAAAGAGAACAAAAACCTCTCTGCCCCATCCTTACACAGTAATCAGATCTAGAAATAAAAATAAAGAAGGGAGCTTATAAAATAATTTGTAAAGCTAGGAACAAAGTGTTCTTTGAATCCAGGAATCACCCCCTGGTATCCTCACCTCAACATTCTGAGGTAATGGCATTTATTACTATCCTCTCCAAGAAACTGATCAGTACAAGTTTCCACACTGTTATGACTATGTTCGTTATTTTTAAAAAGTCACATGGGTATCTCCATCGAGCACATGACAAGCAATCTGAACTATCCATGAGGAGGGACTGACAGATCCAGCCAAGAGCAGCCAGAGGTGCTAGGGCAGCATCTCCAAAGGAGTCCTACCTTCATCAGGTGCTTGTTGACCCACTTGGTGAACGTCTTCTTCTGAACACGGTCCCGTTCATCTGTAAAGGAAACACAGAGAAGGCATTGGCTTAGCATGGCCCGGATAAGTTGCCCTACCCCTGCTTCATCCACACCCCAGCTTCTCCGTGGACAGTGGAGATAGTTTCCACAGACCCAAGAAAAGTGTCTTGTTGTTTGGAAGATTTGGCCTGTCTGAACTTCCTCTTCTGTCCTGACCATCTTGCCACTTTGTAGATTAGACAGAATCATATGCCTCAAAACCAGGCCATGGCAAAGTCTCCTTAGCATCATAATCTGGGGAGTGAGTGAGTCTCTGCTTCCCCCAAAGCAACCTCCAAGAAGCCAAAGCTGTGAACACCACCTGCAGAAGAGGTCGAGTGGCCTTGGCATTTGGGTCACTCGTACTGCAACGGTTCCATCTTCCTCTTCACATACAGATCTGCCGGACCAGTGCTCTGTTCCCACCCTCTCTTGCCCCGGTTTCTACCCCTAGCTCCCGTTTCCTCAACAGCCATTACCAACCAGGCAACCCCGGAAAGCTGCTCAGTTTACCTGTACTACACATCTCCCCCACCTCTTCCTTCTCCCAAGTCTTACAGAGCCACTCCTTTGTAGGCACACTCTCCTTCATTCTCAGTTTTGTGCACCTCATTCACAAAAACATGACTGCCAATACTTGGCAATCACTGCTCCAGAGGCCCGGTCCTGCAGAGGACTCCTTTTCTCCCACATCTCCAATTCCCCGAGCACTTCAGACCACTGATCCATCAGCCTTGCTCCTTTTCTTCTATTTGAAGCCTATGCCATCCCCCTATTTTATTCAAATCATGCTCGCTGTCATCAACCACTCCCTGCTGCCTGCTCCCCTCCCAGTGGCAAATCTACCTTAAACTCCCAACAACTTAGTTCACATTTACTATCTCCACATGCATCCTCTGGCATCATCCTTGACTTACTTCATCTCCAGTTCATATCCAGCCACCACACTGTCACACTGCATTCCTGCTCCAAACACACCTCCTTAGCAGTCATCCTAATCATTCCCAAGCTTTATCACTCCATTCTTATTTTATCCCTTTTATTAAGAGAATCTAAGCTTATCCTGGTCTATGCTAGACAACACAGTTAAGCAATTAAAGCTGCCATCACTAATCCCCCAGGACCTGTCACCTGCCTAACCTTCTACCACTAAGTTCACCATGACAATCTAAGAACCTGAATTACCACCATTGCTCGACTCTTCCATTATTTCTCCAAGTCAGAGGAGCATTTCAGAAGAAAGTGGCAGAATTAAAGAACTCTGGTTCACTAGTATTCAGCACAAACATCAGTGAGGTCTTCCCTCCCTACAGCCCAGTTACTCCCTTCTAACTGACTGCCTAGTAAAAGCCACATAGCTACCGTTCTGAACAATGCTGACATTCTCTCTCCACTTCCAGGTGAATGTACTACCTACTCACATTTCTGAGTTTATAGCCATTCAGTATTACCTCATCCCTGTCTTTGCTCTTAACTTCACATCCTTCTTTTCAGCCTTGAATCTTTTCCTGCTTTGCAAGGAACAGTGATCTCTTCCTATTATATACCACAGAACTTGAGAATTAGAATTAGTTATCTAGTCTTATTCCCTGCTGAAACATGATTCCCTTCAACAACAAAGAATCACCTGTTCAGGGTTGAAAGGTCTGCCCAAATCCTGCATAACTCTATAATATTCCCGATACTTAAAACTCAATAGAGAATTCACTACCTCCTAAAGCAATATATAGATTTAATAGTTCTATAAATATGTCATCATTTGCTTCCTTATAAATTCTCCCTACTGGCTCTCGTTTGGAACTGTTAGACTTTTTTTTAAGTGTAGGCTACTTTTCACTTTTTTTTTTTTTTTAAAGATTTTATTTATTTGAGAGAGAGAGAGAGCAAGAGTAGGGTGAGGGGCAGAGGGAGAAGCAGACTTCCTGCTGAGGAGGGAGCCTGATGTGGGGCTGGAGCCCTATGTGGGCTGGATCCCAGAATCACGACCCTAGCCGAAGGCAGATGCTTAACGCACTGGGCCACCCAGGCGCCCCAGGCTACCTTTCACTTAATAGAGCCCTGCAAGTATTCGAAGCGGGATTTTTATTAGATTTGACCACTATCATTCATTCCACCATATTTTGATCTTTTTAGACACTGATTCAATTATCCAACATCTTCATTATCCTTTCCAAGCCTGTGTCATCTACAGACTGAATGAGAATCAGCTTACAACTGCAGTCTCATCTAAATCACTAACACTGCTCACACTATTTTCTCTTCACCGTATGCTCTCTCCCTCTCTACCTCTCCAAATAGTACTCTTTTTTAAAAAAGATTTTATTTATTTGTTTATTTGAATGTAGTCCCCGATGCCGGGCCCAATTCCACGACCCCAAGATCATGATATGAACCAAAATCAAGAGTTGGATGCTCAATTGACTGAGCCACCCAGGCACCCCAAATACTGTTTACTCTTTAAAATCTAGTTCATTCATTCACTCATTTCTTCTTTGAATACAACTTTATTAAGGACCTACATGATTGGAAGAGCCTGTCTTTGACTCTGACAATAGATACCAAAGTCACTCCCCAGCTCATGCTCTCTCTCAAATAAATAAATAAAATCTTTAAAATGAAAAAATAGGGGCGCCTGGGTGGCTCAGTTGTTAAGCATCTGCCTTTGGCTCAGGTTATGATCCCAGAGTCCTGGGATCAAGCCCCACATCGGGCT